CAAAAAGTAAAACTACCCATGATGCAAGAGAAGAAAAAGAAGCACTACACCGAGCAAGGAAAGAAAACGGAGAAAAAATAATCACTAGTAATTGATTTTTATTTTTAATTTTAATTTTAGTGAACACATTTCTTTGCTTTTTGAGAGTGTAATTATATTAAACTGGTAAGGCTTGATATATTTTTTTTCCAATTTTCAAGGGGAGTTAATGTAATTTACCAATATATATTGTATTAAAAATTGGATTTTTAATAATTTACTCTTTCAAAGATGTTTAAAAGTGCAAGGGTTCTTAAAAGATCAATTTGAGCGAATTGTCATTGAAAGATGTTCAAAGGTGCAATTGATCTTGTAAAATATTTTTCAATCAAATTGTTCACTAAAAAAATGTTCAAAAATACAATTCATTGCCTCCAAGTTGTTCAAAAGTAAAATTCCTATTTTGTAATGTGTAAGATCAGTTAGTTAATTGATCTTTTAGTTCAACGTATAACATTGTTATAATTAAATTAGATTCGGAGGACAATTTGCTCCAATTGATCTTTTGTGGCCAATTTCACTTTTTAACATTCTTTAAGAAACAATTTACTTTTTTTTCTTGTGACCTTTTATTCATTATATTAGAAACTTTTTAATTTTTTATAATTTTATTTGATAGTGTATTTCTTAATTTTATTCTTTATAATAGCATGTGTATATATGTTTTACAAAAAGTTGACATGATATTCAAAATCTAGGTGTGCTTTTTCTGTGGTGTTAGAAAAATTTTCTTTGGATTATTTAATAATTAGTGAAAATACGAGGTGAAAAAAATTAATAAAATATATTTGTATAAAGTAATATAAATAGTTAGATTTTTATATGTAAATTATGAAAATAAAAAAAATATATTAAAACCTACAATTTAAGTTTCACAATTTTATCACAATTTATGTATTAATTTTTAATTTGTCACAATTTTAATCATGCAACTTTCAACTCCCTTGCTAGAGTTGTAAATTTGGGCGAGTTAAACCCAAACAACTCGAGTCAAATATGTAAATTTTTAAATATTGGGCAACATAATTTTTAATTCAGTGAGAACTTATGTAAAATTTAAAAATTTGAATAAATTTGAATGGACTTGGGTAGAGACACCAAATAATCTGAGCAATTGAAACGAAATTGTATATATAAATATATAAAATTATTTGCTAATTTTTTTTTAATAATATATAAGATTAATTAAAAATTTAAGATTAATGAACAAAAGCAAATACACATTTTAGAAAGGGATTATCGAACAAGTTAATATTAAAAAAAATTATATGGCATAAAATAATTTAAATATGATTTTTCAAAAATTATTTCCAATTTAAATATAATAAAATTAAACTTCTTACAAAATAAAAATATCTGTATAAAAAAAAAAGGTAAGGACAAAATTTAGAATGGTATTCTCATATATGACCAATAAATTATCACATCATTATAATTTTAAATTTATATTGTGTCAATTTTAAATTTAAATCAATATATTGTTTTTCATATTTAATCACCCACAAATTTAAATTTTGAAATGGATTAATATAATTTCTATTTTTTTTAAATTTCATATACTTTTCTTTTGAAAATCATAAATCAAGAGATATTAATTTTTATTTCTTTTGCTTCAACAAGAGCTACCCAATAGAAGATTTTTTTAACTTTTAAAAATCAAAAAATTATAAAATTTAAATTGAGAACTTGGACAAATTTCTTAGAGACCTTATGGGTTAGAAATTTCCTTTTACTTATATAATATATTAGTGAAAACCCGTGCTATGCACGAGATGTGAAAAAATTAATAAAATATGTTTATATAAAATAATATAAATAGTTAGATTTTTTAATGTAAATTATGAAAACAAAAAAATACTGAAAATTACAATTTTAGTTTCACAAATTCATCACAATTTATATATCAATTTTTAATTTGTCACAACTTTAATAATGTAACTTTCAACCCCCCTGTTAGAGTTGTAAATTTGGGCGAGTTAAATCCAAGTAAGGCGAGTTAAACCCAAGCAACTTGAGTAAAACCTGCAAACTTTTAAATATTGGGCAACATAATTTTTAATTCGATGAGAACCTATGTAAAATTTAAAAATTCGAATAAATTTAAATAGACTTCGGCAGAAATACCAAATAACCTGAGCAATCGAAACAAAATTATATATATAAAATTATTTGCTAATTTATTTTTTAATAATATATAAGATTAATCAAAAATTTAATATCAATGAATAAAAGCAAATACACCTTTTAAAAATGGATCATCGAATAAGTTGATATTAAAAAAATTACATTTTATAATGGTATAAAATAATTTAAATATGATTTTTCAAAGATTATTTTTAATTTAAAAATTAAATTAAAATATTTAAATATAATAAAATTAAAATTCTTACAAAATAAAAATATCTAGATATATAAAAAAAAAAAAGAAGAAGAAGAAAAGACAAGAATAAAATTTAGAATGATATTCTCATTTGATCTGAAAATAATTTTAGATGACCAATAAATTATCAACTAGAACCCACATTTTTTTTAATAAAAAAAGCTATTTCACAAATCATCATTTTTATTAAAGAAATAACATTTATTTATATTTGTTTTAGCAAAAGTCACTTTTTAGCAATTTGAACCAAATTTTTAATTTTTTTTTATTATTTTAGTTTGTTTAATCGACACTTGAGATCAAAACAAAATTTACCATATTTTGCAAGTGCTAAAAAGTCTAAATGAACAATAATTTTTTTTTTTGAAACTCATAAAAAAAATACCTACAATTGTACCCACAGTAATATGGTATCATATGTGTTAACTCTTGATTTTCTATACACTCAATAGCATAGGGCCCAACTCCCTTGTCATATCATTGTGGATAAAAACGTGGATATGTAGCATTGCTGAAATAATAAATCATCACGTGTATTTTTTTATTATGTAAAAAAATAAATTTCATCAACTATCACTTTTAATAGAAAAAAAAATTTATTTATATTTGATTTTAGCAAAAGTCAATTCTTAACTATTTAAGCAAAAAATTTGTTTTCTATTTTAATTTGTTTAATTGACAATTGAGATAAAAAAAAAAAAATTAACGAAATCGATTATGTTTGGCAATTGTTAAAAAAGTTATTTATTTATTTATTTTTTCTTTTTTTTAAAAAAATGTTTGTATTAAAAAAATTTATTGTTTAAGTCCTTGTAATTTAAAAGGATATAAAAAAAATTATAAAATTTAAAACAAAAAATGAAAAAAATAAAAATATAAACTTTTAATAGCGATAAATAATTTGAACACATATATTTAATAACATATTATGCTTAGACCAATAATATTAGGGGCAATTACATTTTACCCCCTGTGGTTTAACGCTTTTTCACATTACCCCCTGACGTCTATAAATATACTCATAAACACCTTATGGTTTTGGCTAAAGTGAAAAAGTGACGGGGTGTGATAGAATGATGGAAAAGACTAGAATACCCCTATATATTTATATTGCTTACATGCTATAGTCCCTTCAGTTATTTGACTACGATTTTCAAAAGAGAGAGAGAAAGAGAGAGAGAGAGAGACATACATGGGTTAGGGTTTCAAAGGATTTGCAAATCGAATTAGTAACAATTGAAGGATTTCAAAGGATTTACAAAAAATCTGGGTTAGGGTTTCAAAGGATTTACAAAGAATCTTCTTTTCGAAATTTTACTCCAGGAAACAGTCAACAAACCATACAAAAAATCTATTAGTTTGATTGCAATTTTGTAAATTTATTGTATAATATGTTTGGAAAATGACTTGTTTGGTGGTTGAGGTTTTCGAAAATTTTAAAAAAGGGCTTTATTGGTAGGGTTTTTGCTTTATGATGTATGTGTTGGCTTGTTGTTACCTTTTTGTTAAGGTTGTTGTCTGATTGTTGGTTTTTTTGGTAGAGTTTGTATTTTGATGCATGACTATGATATTTGTGCATGGAGGTGGGTTCATAGTGGTCCCCCTAACTGTTTGTTGTGTATATCTGGAATAATAAATTGAGATTTTTTTTTTTGATGCAACAATGGCCACAGATTTGGGGTTTTGTTGATTTTGATGCATGACTATGATTTTTGTGGTCCCTTAACTGTTTTTTGCGTATTGGGAGACAATATGTCTGTTTAGTGTTAGTTTTTTTTTTAATTTTTTTTATTTATTCTTTTATTCTTTTTTCCTTTTTTTCTTTTGTGTGTTGTAATGTTGAGGCATTGATTTGTTTATGTATTATTTTTGTTTTTTGTGTCTTGGATGATTAATTAGGGTGAGGTGATGGCAACAAAGTTTAGTGTTGAGTTACATCATGGAGGTTACTTTACTAAGCCTTCAAATAGAGTGTATAAGGGAGGGAAAGTTAATTACTTTCAGTACTTTGATACAGATAGGGTTGGGTTTTTTGATTTTCAGAAGTTGTACTTGAGCCTAGGCTATCCCTCTAGTAGCCAATTGTATTACAGAGTTCCTGGGGAAATACTGGACATTGGTCTTAGGGAGATGAATTCAGATAGGGATGTAATTGATATGTTATTCCATTATATGGGTTTGAATGTGGTTGCCTTGCATGTGGAGAAAGGTCATAAGGCACTTCAGATCTTAGGTCCAAATGGGAAAGTCATAAAAGGGCCACAAATTCCACAAATAGAAGCACAAATAAAATTGGATGAAGAAAGGATAAATGGGCCTGAAATGGAAGAAGATGAATGGGGAAATGGGATTGAAATTGAAGAAGAAGAAGGGGGTGATAAGGAAATGAATGATTGTGATAGTGGTGATAGCACAAATCCAGAGTGGATGAATGATGGGTTAGAGAGTAGTGAAGATGAAGATATATATGCATATGTTGATAAAGATGTGGGTAGAATCAAATGTGGGTGTTGAGACAAATGTAGGAAATGAACCAAGTGCTTCAGGTTCTAATGAATGGTATTCAGATTAAGATTTTGAGATGCATACTTTGTATGGATCATCAGATGAGAGGGAAATGGATGATAGGTTTGCAGAATTCAAAGAGGATGTGGATATGGTGAAGCTTGAACTCAAAGTGGGGATGAGATTTAGGAATGCACAAGTTTTTAGGAATGCATTAAAGGAATGGCAAGTGCAACAGGGATATGATTTGAAGTGGGTTAGAAATGAAAATAAGAGGATTACTGCAGTGTGTAAACAAGAGTGTGGGTTTAGAATTCATGCATCTCCAATGCAAAATGAAAGCACATTTCAGATCAAAAGCTTAAAACCACTTCATTCATGTGGTAGGACTTATGACAACTATCTAGTTACCTCAAGGCGTTTATCATAAAAATACCTTGAAAGATTGAGGAATTCTTCTAATATAGAGATCTCAGCCATGCAAAAGAACATTCATAGAGAACTAATGGTTGATGTAAGTAAGAGTCAAGTGTATAGAGCAAAAAGAAAAGCAAAGGAAACAATTGAAGGGGATTTGAGGAAGCAGTATGCTAGACTATGGGATTATTGTGAGATAGTCAAATAGCATAATCCAAACAGTTGTTTAGTGATTAAATTGGACAGACCTATAGTTGATGAAAATGATGATGAAGTAGAAAGGCCTAACAGACAACTTACACCTGTTTTTAAGAGGTTGTATATCAAGCTAGATGCACAGAAGCAAGGTTTTGTACAAGGTTGTAGGCTTGTTGTTGGGTTAGATGGTTGTTTTTTGAAGGGCATATATGGGGGCCAGCTTTTAGCATCCATTGGTGTTGATGAGTATAACATGTTTCCCATTGCCATTGTTGCAGTGGAGGCTGAATGCAAGGATTCATGGGTATGGTTTCTGACCCAATCAATAGAGGACATAGGAGCTGGCAATGACATTGGGTGGACATTCATTTTAGACAGACAAAAAGAATTGGTGCACACCTTTACACAGATTTTGCCTAATGTTGAGCATAGGTATTGCTTGAGGCGCTTCTACACTAACTTCAAACAGAAGTTCAGGGGCAAAGAGTTTAAGGTATTGATGTGGAAAGCTGCAAAGGCTGGGACAAAAAGAGAGTTTGATTATCACATGAAGAAGTTGGGGGAATTGGACAAAGAAAACAAGCCAAATGAGTGGTTGATGTAAGAGAATCTTGAAACATGGGCCAGGTCTTACTTCAGCTATAGACACCCCATTTTTGACCATCCTCAAGACTTGAATATGCTTGCAGGTACATCGGATTGCAAGTTTGATTGCTAGCTGAGCGCTCAATTTTCGCAACGGAACGTCACAAGTTTGAGCTTTCCAAACCTTGTATCCTTTCTGTCCCATTTTTGGACCATGTGTTGGTCCTTTCAGCATGCTTCTTGTGGTGTATTGTCGGCCACTTTTTGGCACTGCCGGCCATGCACTTAGCCCTGCCGGCCATCAATGAGGCACTACCGGCCACCACTGATGGCCGGCAAGACACTTTGTTTCAGTAGATTTCGTGCTAGATCTTTTGAGCCAGCTGTTTTTCACTGAGCCATCCTCCATACACGTGTATGGAAGGATGGAGGCCATTTTAAGCTTGTTAAACAAGCTTTGCATTGCATTGCTCTACATAAAGGGAGTCTCCTCTCCCTTTTTAGAGGTTCAGCATTTTTAGGGCTAAACATATCCTTCTCTCTCTATATTTCTCCCTCTCTCTCTCTCTCTCTATATATATATATATATTTGTATTAGTTTGTGCCTTAAAGTGCATTTTCTCTTCACTTTTGCACTACAACACCTAGTAAAGCACCATCACTTTGTTGCTGAGGTATCTGAGGGTCTTGTTTGGACTCAAAAGGCTGGTTTTGGCTCAGAAAAAGACCTGTCTTGCTATGGTACTTCAAGGGTGAGCATGTTCCTCTTTTAGGCATATTTTTTGTATACCATGTTAGCCCTCCTTGCATGCTGTTTTAGGCTTAGTTGTTAACTACAAAAAGCTTTATTTTCAAGTGTTTAAAATGGTTGTTTAAGGTTTCTTTGGTGTTGGGGGTGTTTCACCCCCTTGTGTGCCTTATTTTTCCTTGCTTTATACCATCTCTTAAGGCCTTTGAAATCATCTTTGTTTGGCCTTTTAGCCACTGAAATCCAGTGGATCTTCAGTGGTAGAAATGTGATTTTGAGGTCCAAAATGAGAGGGGGTGGTTCCCTCTCCACTTGTCTTGGTTGCATGCCTTGTTGGCCTAATGATTAAGCATGTTTTTCTAACATATGTTGGCTTATTCTCAGCTTATTTTTGGCCTTATTTTAGCATGGCATAACACTATTTTGGCCTGGTTGAGTCACCTTTTGCATACTTTTTACACTTGTAGTGTAAACCTTGCTCACTAGCCTAGTATACTTGGTGTTTTGGCCAATTATTCTAGCATGTTTTGGCTCAACTCTAGCAAGTTTTTACTCATGTTTTGACACGCTTTAGCTCTATTTTGAGGTTTCTTGGTCGTATGATGCTTGTTATGCATGCTTGTAGTGCAATAGCCTTGAATAGCTTTTAGTTTTTAGGTATCTTGCATGCTTGGCTTGAGGTATTTGCATGTTTTGGCATCATTTGGCATGTTATTTCAGAGCATATAGTGTTGTCACACTTCCATGTTTTTTACTCTTTAAGTGCTCTTGAGAGTTGTACCTTTATGCCTTATTTGTGGGTCATTGCATGAGCATCATTTTCTCACCTTTCAAGCCATCATCTCAGTTCATTTTGGCCACTTTTTTGGCATGCATAAGGTCTGTTTGGGGCTGGTTTGGCCATTTGAGCATTGTCTTGCATGCCTCTAGTGTAATACACTTCACTAGCTTTGATGCTTAGGCCTTTCAACATGCATTACATGGGTTGTTTGCGTGATTTTAAGTCATTTAGCATGACATTTCAGCACTGTGTAGACATCCCATTTTTGACCGCCCTTAAGACTTGGGCACCACTGATGTTTTGCTTGGCGGAGAAAGGTGTACAGGGCAAATGTTCAGTTTCTTCGGCAAGGAGAGAGGCAAATCCTTCAAAACACTTTGTTTAGGGGTTTGGAGTTGAAGAAGAGAGGAAAGGAGAGGAGAAAACTAGTTTGGGAGAAGTTCGGCATGAATCCGGGTAGAAGCGAGTCGAGCAGCCCTCGCTGAATCGGGCTTATCTGTCTGTACACTTGGAGTTTAGCTATG